TATCTTGAGCCGTGTGTCCATGTGTGTGCGTGTGTGTGAAACTTGTGTGTGTGTGAAAAATAAACGGAATCTGCCACTTCCTTTGTGATGCTTTATTTACATTTTTTGGAGATTTTGGTGCATCTAAAATAAAATAAAATAAATGTCGACAGTATATTGCAAGATTTATGACCTTAAGACCTTTTATACAGACAAGCACTTCAGGCCATCTTCACAGAATTACCTTCCTTCCAGGATTAATGACACAACTTTCACTTGACATGATCTGCACACACAAAGAAATGTCTCAACAGGGGATGGATTGCAGGGGTTAAAACAAGTGGACAGGGGCACATTTCCTGTGTGTTGCGTAGGCAATTTGGCAACAAATAAATTACACAAGCCCACCTCTTGGTTCTGCTGTCATGGCAGAGTGCTGAAACCATCCATTAGCTCTTCATTACCTGTCAGCCTGTTGCCTCATGTTGACAGGATTTACGCCCCGCGAGACATATCTGCGCTCTGATAGTAGCACCGGCATGCATAGTCATTAGGTATTTCTAGTAAAGGAGAGAGGTGGGGAACAAATGACGACAAGTGCACACACACACACACACACTCATTTAAAGTCAGACAAAAATGGTAAACAAACTTGTGTTTGCTTTACAGCTTCTCAGCCTGTCAGTGATCGAGACGTTTTTTTTGTGTGTGTAATGGTCGTAGCCCTTGTTCTCGGCGTTTCATTTTTGAGAAAATATGAAAGATTGATGTCTGATCATAATCTTATTATTGTTGCATGAGATGGCTTAGCGGAGGGATTGGGGGCCTGCTTTAATCCGCTTTGTCCCTCATGTTGTCCTTTGAAAGGTTTTGATTAATGACCCTCCAATGTATCCGCTTGTACAAGAAGCTTCAAGCACACCTTCCCCCAGTTGACATATTTGTTAGCTTGCTTGACTGACTTCCTCTTCTCCCATTTAATTCTTCTCTTCCCTGATAAACCTAAGCCAACCAAACAGCCGGGATCCCTGGATGATGATGTGTGTTTTCATTCCCCAAACAGCCAGGAGGCAGTACAGATATTGTCCGTGAGCTCGGAGGCACAAAGTGGAGCAGGCCTGGCTCTGCAGAGATTGCAGCACTTGCTTTAGGCCATGAAGGCAGCATGACATTATGCAGACTGTAGCATGCATTATGCTCATGTATTATGACCTTTTTTCCCCTTAGCATTACATTATGAAGAGAATGAGAATGTATCGATCATCATGACAGGGCCCCGTGTTCACAGCTTTGAACAGATTCATTAGAAAGCCTGACAGCACAGAGTGGTGTTGTCTTGTGTTGCAGACATCATTTAGGAAGGTTTTGCTTGCTCAAACACTTTTGTAGTTTATTAAACTAGTTTTGTCTTGCAGAAGTCTATTTTTGGATTATATGAATCCACTGTTGCCCCTATCATTAGTGAGCTGGGCCCCCACACATTTCCACCATCCACCTTCTAATCCCCTTCATCCATCAGGCAGTATGACTATAAGGGCTGCATGTTATTAAAACTAAATGAAACCTGCCTCAACCCTCAAAGCGAATGCATTCCCAACACCCATTCAACTTTGAATAGAACCAACAATGTACTGTAATCTTCTCCCTGAAATAAATAAACTCCAAGTGTAAACAAAGACAGGAAGTCTGCCTTGTCCTTCTTCTTTCAAACATTGTATCATCTTACAATTACAGCTTTGCCAAAAATGTCCCCAACCTGTTCCTACATTTATATTTTGCTGAATAATAATTGTCATGACTATTTTCAGATGCCCAGAATGTGAATGGCCAAAGCCAGAAGGTTATGATAGTCAATAAAACACAAGTTATCTCAAATAAAAATACTAAGCAGATTTTTTTCCATCAGATTTTGCTGAATAAACATAGAAAATGACGATGTAAAACAATTCACAACATTAAATATGTAAATCCATTACACTACATTAATTATTTGCACTTCCTAATGCCATCCTAATTACAGAAACATTTTTTCAGAAGTTTCACCTGCAATATACATACAGTGCCATCTTTGGTATTTTGTCCTCACGGTGATGTCATTTTTTGGTGTATCTTTGAATGTGTCATACCCCTAAAATCTTTAAAACCTTAAGATTGCATACGTTTTCATGATTTTTTTAGGTGATGAATAAAACAGGACCATGAAAGCAGCAACTTTTATTAGTTTCCTGCCAGGCTCTGCTTTTTGCAAATGATCAACCTTGTTCCAGATGTTTGGTGAAGATGTCACCATAAACAAACGTACACTATTATGATAAACAAAACAGGATCCTTGGCTTTCCTGCTGCAAAGAAAAAGAGTACTGGCTGTAGCTATTGTTGATTGTAATATGAATTAATTCAAACAATAGCCAGAAACGATCCATCATTTGAAAAGGGTTCAGTCCACGCTGTGGAAAAAAACAGAATAAACTTCCTTAAAAAAAACTCCAACAACCTCCAGACTTAAGGGAATCATGAGCCCAAAAGAAAGAGAAACTGAAATGTCTTCATTTTTAGAGCAACAACACCAACTTCTGAAAAACCAACGGCTCCGTCTAGTAACAAAGCTGTGGGTACGCCCACTCCAGTCTTGAGGCCAACACACTGAACCTCAGGGCATGATGCATTCACTCTGAAGGTCTCATATTATCAAAAACTGTGGTTCTATATTTTCCTGTTCGATATCAAACAGTGGTAGAGAGAGAATATGTAATCCTTGAAAGTAAAGTCTGAATTCATTAGGGTCCAGCGTATCAACAGAAAAAGGAAGGGATTAAGTGGTATAAATCCTCCAAGAATAAAGAAAACATGAAGGCACAAGGTCCAAATGTTCAAAGAAAATGTAGGGAAAGAATTTTCTTTGTCAGATTATTATCTCGAATGTTTTTATCTGACGAAAACTTGCTACCACATTTGCCTTTCTGCTATGACTGATTCCTCCCGTTTTATGATCGCAATATTAAGCTTAATATTAAACTCAATTTCTTTGACACAACAGTATGTTGTTAGCCTTGATTCCTTTCATTTATTTGTCGTGTTCCACCCTCATGCTGGATCATCCTTCAAACAGGATGATGTGTGAAGGATGCAGCTTAATGGCTCGCATTGAAACCATGGCCTCAATCTGTGGTTTCTTTTCATTACAGGCTCAGAGGAAAATAAATCTCTGTACTTTGTTTTTCCTTTGTCGTGGGGGGACATGGACAGTTTATGTATGTTGAAGGTTGCTTGGCAAAGTACGGTCATAAAAAAAATGACTCTTAATATGGATAAGGTCTGCCTAGGATGAGGCCCAAGAGTGTTTAACCCTCCTAACAGTATGCAGATGTTTGGACGTCTATTCTTTTTTGCCGAGAGGTGTTTCAGTTCCATGTGAGGAATGTTGCATGGAGCGTGAAATAGTTTCATAAAAGCTTGAGGGAAGAGGTGTGTTAGATTCATAACGGTTTTATATCTGAAATGGAGAGTACTCTCAACCGTGGCTTTTTTCTAATGCCATCTGTTGTTTAGATGCCAAAATGTACGAATCTGCATATCTCCGAACTAATGAGAAAGTAATGGGCCATCACCAAAAGTTCATGAATACGAGCTGTGACATTATGAGGAAGCAGTGACTCGTCTGTGTTTTGTTTCCCATTACACAAATGTCTTTTTCCTTCTCACTGACTGCAGATTCTTTCTCCTCCCAGTCGACTTAGAAATCACCTCTATACCTGCACACAGGTTGTTGTACAGGGGAGGAGTGATGTTTTTATCATCTGTTACCTTGAAATCTCTCTCGATTCACTTGTCTGTCTACAGACTTACTAAGCAGCCGAATGAAGGAATGCGTTGACCTGTTGAAACAAACTTATGTGTATATGCTGATAGCAATTCTTTTCATATTTTTTTATTTTTATTTATTATTATTATTATTATTTTTTACTGTAATGAGGTGACAAAGTGCAAAATATACTTTTTCTTTTTCTTGCTAAGACCTAGCAGTAAGACTGATACTGTCCTGATATTTGAATGCTAAATATGACACTTTAGCTAGTTAGCTTAGATATTGGCACAAAACGTAGAGACAAGGAAACAAATGATATTTGTTGGGGGAGACTGTGATTGACTATTTGCACCTGACATAAAACCCCAATTTCACACACCCAAACCCAGAATTCGCTTCATACTTCCCTTCCTTGAATACATGAGATGAAAAAGCAAGTCTAAGGGTATAGCTTTTGGGGGATTTTGTTGGACAGAGCAATTCTAGCATATTTTCAAAAGTTTACAGTATTTATGTTAAGCTCAAGTCTACCGTCTGCAGCTTTCACCGTATAGAAACAAGATGTTTACATGGATTGATATGAAGGGAAGAACAAAACTGGAGAATTTACTTAATGACTAATGATTTTTTCAAATATCTAGCTAAGAATACTGTATATAACCCGCATGATTGCATGCAAAACATTAAGCTTTAGCAAGTAAGCTAAGCTAACCCACAGACTGGAAACTGATTAACAGCTAGCCTGGCTCTGCCAATGGGTAATTAAATAAAAATATATCCCTTTCTACAGCTCAGTAATAACCACATGCAAACGACTTAATGAATAAGATGGAACATAGGATACAGTATGTTTTAAAGGTTCATTTTTGCTGGGTTTTCATTACCTTTGACAAAACAAGGTGAGGTATTTTCCTACAATTACACAAATGTAGACAAAGCTAACTCCTTGCTGGGTGTAGCCAAATATGCAGTATAAACTTTGGAGTGCTTTCAGTCTTAGATGAAACTTTTTGCATTACACTTTAAGGTTTGGAAGTCAAGTTAATTCAAGTCAAGTTAATCTGTTGAAGAAATAGTCTTAAATTGAATGGTAGCATAGTTTTATGAATGAATGTCATCTTTAACTTGAACTGCACTTCTACTACATCACCCCTTATTCCGATGTATAAGGCACAAAATGGGCGTGTGTTCTGACCCTGTTTCCGTTCTCTGTGCAGACGGACTGCTCCAGCGACAGCGAGAGCGAGGACAACTTCATCGTCGTCCCTCCTCGAGACCACCTGGGCCTGGCCATCTTCTCCATGCTCTGCTGTTTCTGGCCTCTGGGGATTGCAGCGTTCTACTTCTCACAGGGGGTGAGAACACGTACACAAATATCTTTATTTATATATAAACAAATGCATTCTGTCTTTCACACATGCTTTTAAATGATGTAGTGGTTCTTCGTCAAGGTCTTACAAAACAGGTGCGTCTTTCCTCCCACCCAAACAAATGATTTTCGATGAATTTACTGGCATGGGAACACACGGATACACTCTCACAGACCCAGCTCTTTGTGTGACTCATCACCGGCAGATTAAGGGCTATCACACATAAAAAAGAACTGACAGCTGACTGTCCTACTGCCAACGCAAGGCCACTTTTTACTGAGCTACCCATCAATAACTCAAGGCCGATCTGTAATGGCTGCTTGATGCCCTGCAAACAGGCTGAGACACCTCTCGGAAGAGTTTTCAAGGAAGTCTAACATCGGAAGTGTTCTGAGATGAGAGACCGACTTTGAACTAGTGGTGTTTTTCAGGGGGATTAAAGATGAACCCAATTACAGGTGTGGCGACAAATTAAAGGTGATGAGCTTTCACACACTTTTAACAGCCTTGTAAGGGCTATGGTCCGGAAGGTATATTATTTGACAATTCTCTAAGTCGTACTACAAAACAATCTCTGAAAAGTCTTTGTTTTGATGACTTTAGCATAGTTTTTCTGCTTAAACTATCTTAAAAGAAGCTGTTTTTCAGGTTTTTTTCCATCTCCCTGCCATTTATCAACAAACACAGCTTTGAATGTTAAATCTAAAACGGTTATTAAAAAGAATCCAATTTGTGTTTTAAAGATTTGATCGTTTTAAAAATGCTACCTGCATGGTTAATCCCTGTATGGGTGAGAGATTGGCATCCAACTCTACAAATTCACAAAATCAAGGCTATTGAAATTAGTATTGCTTTGCCAGAGAAATTGTATTTTGATGTGAAGATAAAAGTGCATGAGTGTAGAAAGAGTAGTTGTATGGTTTTAGAGTGCAATTTGACAGACAGGACAAACGCAATCCTGCTACTTTGAAGCTTTTCCAATATGTTCTCAGCCAAAGAAAATGACAAACAGCACTTATTGGCTGTCTAATTGATTCCAGCTGGACTACCTCCCTCTTTTCAATACTGTTAGAAAACATCTCCGGTGGTGGTGTGTCAGTCAAAGAGCAGAAGGGATCGCTATGTGCCCTGCTGCTAATCAATTCTGTCTCTCTTAGAGGCCATGTGTAGCACACACATACAGTACAGGCTATGCAGTGTTTGTATTCAGAGTGCAAGTAAATACACACTGTACACACATATGCAGGAGATTCGTGAGCTTTCCATTTAATCGTCCTGCATTTTGAAATATCAAAAAACATTTAGCCGTCTTATCTGTTGGCGTGAGCAGTCCGCAGCAGATTAAGGCAGTCAGTGAATTATCTTGTCAGGAGCTAATTTGATTCTTCCTGGGTAATTATGGGGAAGTGATGGCTGCGTTTAGGGATGGATGACTTTCCTGCCAATCTCCGTCCTTTAGAAGGTACCGTCCAGAAGAGCTGTCAGGAAAAGATATGGTGGGAGTCTGGGATCGCTTCATTTTATGGCTCAATAACCCACTTCACTGGTCTTGGTTTCATTCAGTCGCACAGGGAGCCCTCTGACTAAATGAATTAATTCTGTAGGAGTTAGCATGAGGATAATGTAAATTTTTATTAGAACACAGTTTGGGATTGAATTATCTGTGTTAACTTCCATCCTTCTGCACTGTCCGTAGTAAAAGCAGAGCATAGATATCTGTGCTGAGCTGCAGAGCAAAAATAAAGCCTGATTAAAGATCTTTCTTTTACTATTTGACATTAATACTATTACAGAATGAAAGCTCATTATACTGTAGGAATGCTTCAATTATTTAAAAGCAAATGAAAAAAATAGCAGGAACTATAGAGAGAGAGTTTTGAGAAGCCAAATTTTGAGGGCGAGGGAGTATCACCTAGCATTAGCCATATTCATCTTCACCTTCTAACCTCTGACATTTAAAAAACACACACTTATTCTGTTATTTTTATAGCGCAATTTGCTACCCCATTTAAGTATGTAAATTTAGCCAAATATTAGGGGGATCGGCCAAACAACACATGCAGTATTGGCAATTTATTTTAGGTCATATAGGGATTGTGACGAGGTTGTTATTTTTTGTAAACCTGCCCAAAAAGACAGATTATGTATGAATACTTTTCTGTACTCATGTATGTACCTCAGGCTTACAATCCTCAAAACTTCAGCCCATTATGCTCATCATCTTTTTTTTAGTTGTTAGTCCTCTCTGCCTTTTGTACCCATTCATAATGCGATTAGACAAGAGCAGCAGGACAAGCCAAGGAGAAAAGTTTAGAAATGATCACACGTCAGCGTCGTCACTCACTCCGAGGACATTTTACAAACAAACAGGTTAGCGACTGTAATGGAGTCTGAGGACGGCAGATCAATAGTGTTTTTGTTTAGTCCCACTGGAAGGTCAGTCCTAGTCAAACAGAGAGATGGGTAATAGCTTCCCAAGGAGAGAACACCATGAGTGAGGGCATGAACACACACACACATACAAACACACCGACAGGCGCACAATTAGCTTCTGCTTTTAATTGCTTATATCCTATTTGCCAAAGTCTACATCTTTAATTCTGTGTAACGTCTTTATGGTAAATCGTGCTTTACAGTGTTAGAATTCAGCATTTACCACCCACACACACACACACGCACGCAAACACACAAAACTGATAATGACTAAAATAGCGTGAGTATCTGGGGAAAATGAGCTTGGAGCATTTGATTGGGAAACAGAATTGAGTTTCAATTATTGCCACTAATAGGGTGAGTGTTTTGTTTTGGAGATGCTGATAAATGTTTCTCTCAGCTCCAAGACATCTGTGCTGGAAAATGCAGAGTTGAGGAGCGGCAAGCGATTCTTTTCACGATTATGCAAATAAGACTCCCCTCAAGTTATCTCACGGCAAACAAGTCATCATAATGGATGGAAATGAATGAGCTAATTATTGTGGAATGGTTTATATATATTTGCACGCGTGTCTGTTTGAAGGGGGTTGAGAGACGGAGAGAGCAAGATAGAGAGGCGCAGAGATTCGGGGCTTAATTGTGTTGTTTATTGCGAAAGAAAAACCTGCTAAGGGGACTGAATTGACTTCCATGAGCACATCCAATAACTCTCCATGCAGCTAAGTCTGAGATGTTATCTTTTTTCTCTATGACACCACATTTCAATCATTTTGTCAAGGTTGTCGAGATAAAGCCTGAATGCTTCTAACCGTTTCCCTCTCAAGGGAAGTCAAGGAAAAGATCCCCACATTGACGTATATTGTGCATTATACGGAGAACCACATAGGCACACCTTCATCTCTTTAGTGCACATTATGGACTTATTATATTTCATTTCCGTGTTCCTCAGGGAGAGCCATGACACGCTTTAATTTAATTACTCGTGTGAAAGGGAGAAAAAGACGGCTAAATCAATTACAAATGCTTTGGCAGGAGGAATTAAATAAAAAGCGTGTGTACTTCAGCGCTGTTTTCCTGCCAGTGATGAAGAATAAAACTGTCCGCTGTCACATTATGACTCTATTCAGGATATTCTCCTCAGAAGGACCTTGCTAGTGGGAGTAATACATCCTCAAAAGGAGAATGTGTTCTGTCAAGTTTGGAAAGCAAACCTGATTTCCCAGAAGGCCTCCATAATGCTGCTTTTGTTTCAATAATTACTGTATTGACATGGAAGCTGTCTTGATTACAAGTGCTTTGTCTTGATTTACTTCCTGACCTTTTGAGGCATTTGTCTGAAGACTCTTTCTCTTGCAGGCTCTCTTTGTTTCACAGACGTGGTCTTCTAAAAGCTTCTCGGTGCTAATCTTGCAAAAATGGAATGACCTTTTCTCTTTTTTCAGTTGTAATTGAAGAAAAAAAATGTTTTTGTTTAGATGTGCTGTGGTTAGAGATGCAGAGGTGTTTCTTCTGGTAAAGAGAAACTATTTAATTGAATTAAAATTGTCCAAATACTAAAAAAAATAAAGAAAAAATAAAACATAGTATATCTGGAGAAGTTAGAATGATACATGCTATAACCATGCATGCATACTTAAATATGAAATACACAATTTATGATTACTGTACACATTAATCCTCAAAACACATTGACAATGTTCTGCTAATTCAACTTGCATACTAAGGCTACACATGGAGCACTACTGACTTTGGGATGACATTAAGGATTATTTCACTTGGGAACACAAGAAATATTTGCTTTAAGAATAATCCGTCTATAATGTATTTATCATCCACCGGTGTCACTTTAAAAAAAATTCCTACACTAATATTTCTTATTTGGACATACACTTGGAAACACAAGCCCTTAAGTATAGAATGACTTTCTTTTAACTCTTGTTCTTTGGATTGATTTGCCCTCTGGTGTCCCAAGTTGCCCAAAATGGATCCACAAATATTTGTACTTTAATTATACATAATTGAACAAAATGATAAAGAACTCAAAAATAAAACATTAGAATGAGGTGCCTTCCACTGTCCATCAAATGAGGGACATAGCTGTGTGCTACAGTTTTATAGGAAAAAGCTCTTACATTTTGTTTCACATGTACTTTTTTTTTATAATGACTTGAAAATGACTTCAGTGACATCCCATGAAGATGATAATAATTGCTATTTGGGTCATCATTCTGGATTTTTCTGTCTGGTGGGGATGATCTGTCTCTGTAGCGCAAATGTGAAGGGGTTATTTTTCATAATACTAGGTACAGGGTATGGCTGAAAAGGTGAGAGTAAATATATATTCATAAACAAAAACATCTGTATAGAAGGCAAAAGGCTGGCACATTTATTTAAAAAGGCTGACCTGTATGTGGTCTGTATTTAACTTTTCTGTTTTTAATATAGACTTTCTTGGGTTACAGACTTGATGTCCCCAGACTCGCTGTTACACTCCTTTGTGATTTAAGCCTTTCTGAAGCACAGAAAACATTAAACATCAGTTTTTATTAGCTGCTCTTCTGGTTCGGGATCGCAATGTCAAATGAGGTAACGTGACGTCTTTCAGCTCCTCAAGGGGAATGTGCTCCAACAGGGAGTTTTGGTCTCAGTGAGTGTTACATTTACCTCAGGCTTTCACTTCAGTTAGCGACACAAAGCACACATTCGAAGAAAGCAGCAGCGAGGCTTGGTACCAGAACCAGCTGGCTCCTCTCAGTGAGGAAGAGTAATAGCTTGACTCCTTGAATCCTCCTCCATTTTTATTCTGTTATGATGACTAAGGTTGGGAATCCAAAAATGGAACCAAATTGAAGCCACTTTTATCCACAGGCCAAGTGCTTGTGAGAAAAGTCAAAGGTTTAGAATTTAAGTGTTGCTTCAGTGTTGGTTTTTCATTCAATACCTCTGTTAGATAGGAAATCCGCTTCTATGCAGATGATGGACCGAACTGCAAGGCATAACCTCGAAAAAACTCAGAGGTATAAAACTGACCTTGAAGCCAGCCTCATCACATTCATATGAATTACACATCAGCTCCTTAATCATTTGAATGAATGCAGCATAATAACGAAGGTCATTAACTCAACAGGACATCCTTAAATGTGCTGGGATGCATTTATGTCATTGTGTAAGAGGTACAATAAATTATAATTCTGACTCAGCAGAATAAGTTGTTTACACCAGTGAGTCTCATTAATTAGAAATAATAGATTCATTTAGGGTGGCATTTGGAGTAAAATGGAAATTACTTTTGGAGCGGGAACAATGGAGATGGCAGAGAGAAAAGCTTATACAACGTTGTTGTAACGTGTAACGTGTACAAGTGCTGTAAAACTTTTTACTGCTGTGTGTGTGTCTTTTCTGCTTCAGTGCTGACCTCTATTCAGCTATAAAAGAAAACAGAAAATCCAAGTCGACATCTCTCTTCCCTTTACCTATTCTCCATTGGCAGGGAAGTTCATTCAACCAGTTGGATAGCTAGAGGATAGACAGCACTAACAGCTCTATAAGCACTCAATATACAAAAGAAAACTCTTACTCAACCACTATTTACTGTCCTGTTTGTCAGCAAATATACAACCAGAAAGTACGAAAGATACAATCACAACTTAAATTCCTGCTTATTTAAATCTTTTTTTAAAAACATACTACATACAATCATTAACTACTTATTTAGTTAGCATCAATAAAAATGAGATATTCTACATCTTTGATGATCAAACAATATTTTCAATCCATTTATAAATGATCTACTAAACTTTGACATGATAAAATGAAAATAAAATAAAATAAAGTGAGTTATTCTTCATTTAGTGTGGGTTGTTCTATGTTCAGAGTGATGTCTGTGTTGTGTAGCTGGTGCAAGTGTGTCTTTGTGCCTCTTTGAAGGATAGACAAGTCTTAGGAGAGCCATCAGAGGAGGAAAACAGCAGGGCAAGAGGGTCATTGACTTAAAGGAGCAAAGAAGGAAAACATGGCGAGTCTCGTCTAGTGGACGAGCTCCATGCGGTCGATGCTTTTATGAGCTTTTTTAAGTTCAGAGAGCTCACATAATAAAGAAACAATATTTTGTTTTTGTGGGCTTTCACTGAGTCAAACCAATCATTTGTAGACTCCATGCAGACAAAGACCTGTTAAAGGGCAAAACTAACTCTTTACAGTGTCAAGACGGATGTTTTATTGAGAAAAGTCTTGTGTAAAATGTACTGCTTTAACTTGCTGTTGATGAATAGGAAACTAGGACTAGACTAAGTGGTTACTCCCTGTGTGGGAAACAAGTGTAATTTAAGCAGAAAGGTTGGCACAGCACCACAGAGGATCTATATGTGCCTATAGAGGGTTGTTAGAATGCACTATAACCTTAAATACACAGTAACTGGGTCAGGCTGAGGGGGGGTTGTTGTCTGAAGAGGAAAAAAAAAATTCAAAAACCCTCAACAACAAAGCAATGAGATAACATGAACGAGCTATGACCTATATAGGTTTTTAAATGTTTAGCTTTAACCTTTAGGCACAGTTCTTTTTGTGATCTCTTTTTCAAATATGGTTCTATAAAACTAATTTATTTGGACCTTTTCTTGAGGTTTGTTTAAGGGGAATTATGATAAATCTGCTCCCCTGACATGTCATTTATCACGCAGTGCTAGCAGATAAAATGACCGTAACCTTTGCTCCTTGACATTTCCACATTAATTAAATTTTTTAGTCCTGCTATGCATGATGAGATCTCCAGGGTGAAGCCTTCCCGCTCAGTCAATTGGCCCATCCTCCAATTGCATTTCCTTTTTTTTTTTTTTTTTTTATTCACACTGCCACAGAAATAACAGACAGCTTCCAAATTATGGTTCCTTAGAAAAATGGGTCACTATTTCTCTTGAGGTGCTTCTAAACGGTCTGACTTTCTTCTTCTCTTACATTTTTCTCCCCTTCAGACCACCAAGGCAGTGAACAAAGGTGACTTCCCTCTGGCCAACATCGCCTCTCGACGAGCCCTGTTCCTCGCCGCCCTCTCCATCACTATAGGCACCGGCGTGTACGTGGGAGTGGTGGTAGCTCTCATCGCCTACCTTTCAAAACCAGGACACATATAGCACTTCTGCACCTTCCCCTCGACACACACCTCCGGGGAGCCCATAGGAAGGAGAACAACTCCCTCTCTTGGGAACGGCATTGCTCCAGCTGACTTCGAGGGAAAGTTTTTTTTTTTTCGGGATGTACAGTTTTCTCCTCCACCTTTCTTTTCTTTCCAGCTTTCTCTCCCTGCAGGCCTTCTGTCAGCCAAGATTAGACGCACTGACTGGAGAGGGGTCAAGCTGTGGGGTGAGAAGACTGGGAATTGGGGATAGACAAAGTTTTTTGTTGATACAGAGAAACAGTTTAAGTAATGCAAGTATTCCATGTTGGAGTCCAGTTTGCATCCCATTAACTTGGCTGGATTTCCATCGTCCAAATCCCCGGCAGAAGAATCAAGGAGAACAGACTGAGACAATAACTCTTTAGCATTTGTTAAAAAGCAAAGGTTGAGGAAGGTTAGAAAGCAACACAAAATCACTCTCAAACCAAGTCCTTGTTGTTGTTCTTTGCGCTCCAGTTGAAATCGTAGCCTCTCTGTGGAATCCTGTCTCTTCCTGTCACAGTTTGCCACACAGGACCGTCTTTAATAGACCGTGAGCTTCCCGTATCAACTCAAAACACCGAGACTGCATTTGTCCCTGGGCTGACTGCCTCACAGCTTCTTAAATCATAACAAAGGACTGCTTTTATTTCCTGGGAAACACTTAAAAAAAAATAATCCAGTAATTTTGATCAATGAAGAATACACTTCTGAAGGAGAAGAACCATCAAAACAATCAAATGCTGTTCATTTCTCATTGAACAATGTGCACTGGCATGACTTTAAAGAACCTCAACGAAGACTCGGACCTGAATTTTCCCTTTGACGTCCATCCCTCAAAGACGTGTCCTGAAATCACACACAACCTGCTCATGCCTGATATGGTTTGCCTATGTCCATGAAAATGTGGTTCCTTTCTTTATGTTTGTCTTGTTATGTTCCCTCCAGTCCAAAGCCAGCGTAATCTTCACACATTAAAATGTTCATTTAAAGCCTTTGACATAAAGCACAGAAATCCAGTGGACATATGGTCAAAAAAAACCTGGGGATAAGGTGTGCAGTTTCTCTCCCCTGAAAGCATTGCATCTGGTTACACAATGAAATGAAACATCAGCCGTTAACAGTAGGAGAGGAAGTTATAAATCAGGTAGATAATGTCATTAAAAGGCAGGCCTTGCATACCCTCTGGGGCTCCACATAAACAAAGTGTTGCAGACTGACAGTTTAGGTTTTAGCTGTGATCAATTATTCTTTTCATGGGAGGAGTGTTCTGCTACACATGATTGAGCAGGTTTAGAAAATGTTTTTCTTAGATCATAAAAAAGCCTCAGTTAAAATTGATAAGGCGGGGAAGGGGCTTGTATTTTGCAAAATACTTTAGCCTACGTTCCCAAAATCAGCTATTGAAAAAGACAACACTTCACTGTAAGTTTAGTTTGTTCCCCATGATTTAAAGAATACAAGTTATAGAAAGACACTACAGAGACATTTACTCTCAGTATGAAGGGCTTCTTAAATCACTCTGATTGTAGTTTTGAATCATAGACAATGAATAGTTAGATTGTACTTCAAGCAGAGAAGCCTAGCGTGGTGACATTTTACACTTAGTTTCTCTGCACTGGTCCCACATTAGTCATACCTGACGTTTATGGTGCACAATTAGCTCGGCGTAATGGCTTTTTACAGAAGGAATGTGTACTCTCTGGAGCTTTGCCCCGAAAATAGCACAACCGCATTCATTTCACTAATAAGACACTTTTTGGCGTCGCTGGTTGCTGTCACACGCAAGTAAACAATCCATTTTCCCATCCTCTGCTTTATGAAAAAAAAGCAAGCAAGTTTGATCTGTTGTGCTAATGAAGAGTGAACATTGTTCGTGTTCTCCCCCGAGCAGGAAGTTTCCAGTGTATCGCAGATAAATTAAACTGCAGATTCTCTTTTAGATTTTGTTTTTGGCTGCCTGGAGAGGTGAACATCCTGCTGTGTTTTAATTCAAGGCACTTGGATAATCATGAACTGAATTCTTATTGGTTTGTTGGAATTTGTAAATTTGAAAAGATTCATAGACTACAAAGCCCAGTTATTCAAACGGTTAAATCAGAACAGGAGTGTGGAAATCCATTTCTTTGTCTGTCCAGGATCAGTTAATCCAGTGCTATTTTGTCCACAGGCTTTCAAAGAACAACTGGATTGGCTCAACCTTTTCCAGATCCAAACTTTGAAGCAATAAAAAAAATCTGGATTACCAACGCTTTAAAGAGGACTTCACCCGACATACGTTGTCCGTAGCGGGAGCAAAAACCCACTCAAATCAAAAGATCCTCTAAAATCTGCTCTAAATCAAATATTATTTGCTTCACATCTTTTTGATTCATCCTTATGGGAAGAAATTTCCTGTATTTTTTTTACAACCCTATTTTTGTTTATTGAATCAGAATAATCCCAACCCAATCTGATGTTTTAAAAAACACAAATTGGAGGTTTTATCCAATAAAAAACAAGATTAACTGATCCTATTCAATTCTGTTACCTTTTTTTTCTTCTGAATAACCTGATTTCAAATCTTGAGGTTTTAATTTAAACTTGGGGGGTTAAAACAACTGGGTCCTGGTCATTTGAACGTTGTTATTTCACTTTTATTCTTTGGCCTTATAACATGTGATGCTTCTTCACCACATGTTCCTGTGGTAGCTCGTGAGCAACTACGTCAGCGCTCATACACATCATGACCATCACTGTAACTATACTGAAAGACTCTGTCTGCTTTCATCACCTGGAGAGCGTATTATTGCTGATAATGATGAACATGCTTTGTGTTATGTAGCGTGTCAATCAAACAATGTGTTTCTATCCAGCTTCTTTGGCAACCGTGCAATGTGTTACAGCAGTATAAGGGTTTTCAGTGCTGTTATTTTCTTCTCATTGTGATGAGCTGATGTACACATTCACCCAACAATGATGTTTTCTTAATGCATTCCTCAATGCCAGGGTGATTATGCTCCCTGTATGTCGGATTAAAGAAGATAACATCTTTTTTTGTTATGTTTTGGGATATTTTTTCCTATCTTGTGTGAAGGCAACATGTACATAGTGCAAATAAAGACATGTTCAAATGTAATGACAATAAATCAGAAAGGAAGGACGGCCTTTCTTAAAAGCAAAGATTGTTTTTCTGTGTGGTTTATGTAACGTTGAGCTGTACACTCGGATTCCAAACCCTTCACATCCTGAGAGAACTGACTGAGTAATTGAGATGCTTCAGTTGTCCTTAAAGCACAGGCAAACACACACTGAGTCATGGAGAGTAGGTGGTTTCGCCAGAAAGCGATGGAGGAGCAGCTCTGAAATTTGTAGCTGCAGTGTTCTCATATAGCCGAGTGCTTGAAGTACACCTTTCTTTGTGTTGTCACCATCACATCACCGTGAATGCACAGCCACACTCAACTCACCATTCCACACACTGAACAATACACAAACTGACATTTCACTATGTGTATTTATACTATCAGGGTAGTCTCATTCATTCAGTCTTACAGGGCAGGTTATGTTTAGTTCGTAGGGTTTCTATGGAGATATAAGGCTTCTTATCTAAAAAAACGAGGATCAACAATTAGCCTTCAAGTGGACTCCACCCAAACATTTTCCTATGAATGAATTATGGACTTAACTTTTTCAACCTTTACTATGTGAACACTTTACCCATTACGTTCAAACTTTTCAAATTTGTATTCATTACCTCTAGCTAACTGTCTCAATCTGTTTCAACCAATTACTTTGAGCTCACTATTTCATCTAATACTTTTATATCAAGCTATTTAAACTGTATTATCTTAAAATGAGATTATTATTTCAACTGTTTCAATACTTTTAGTGGATATTATTTTTTTATTCATTACATTAAGCTGCCAGTTTTATAAACTAAACAATTTTTTATTGCTACTTGCTTTTGATTTTATTTTTTTTAACCATTGTTTATGGCTTTGAGTTTTTTTTTCTTTTTTAAATTTTCAAAACTATGTGTGAGTAAAGCATGTCTTTCAATAACAGAGTGTAATCCAGAATTTCTCTCAGGGATGAGTAAAGCATGTGTAATACATTTTTTTTAAAGGCCCTTAGTTGCCATCGCACCCAAACAGCATCTGTTTATGAGAGCTACCAGGTTGTGATGACAACATCTCCGGGTTGTCAAATGGGAACCTCCATTCAAGAGGTGTCTCGTCCAGTTAGTCCCAGGATACCTCTGAAGGCTGGACAGTGAGTTTCTGGGTCCCAGAGCCAACCTGCTTAATGCAGGCTCCAACCACCCATCATACCCATCATGCTGTGAAAAGAGACAAGGGAAAAACAGAAAGGAGAGTCTGAAGAGAGATGTTAGAACTAGGACAGTGAATACAGAAGAAGGGCAAGGAGCCTGTTCAAGCTAGAGCCCAACACTATGGTTAGGCTTGAAAAACAACAATGAAGTACAGGTAAGTAATTTAACTGTTCATTGCTTTCTGTTTTCTTGAAAGGTTAAACTGATATTCAATATTTAGTTTTTTTCAACAGTTATGTTGCAGTAAGAGTTTTATTTTATTCAGTGCTATAATACAGTATGTAACTGTGTATTTTTTTAGCTAGTTATTTTACCAGTTTATCCAGTGTCTAACTTATTATGTCCCTATTTACCATCACAAACATTTTTACTCAATCATAAGTGTTAAATTTGTATTTGTGCCATTTATCCAGGACTTCATGTAGCTTTTGTTCACCCTCAATATAGCAACACATCCCCATCACTGGTCAACAACATATCGTCTTTACAGAATCACCCTATGTAGGCTGGAACTAAACCCTACAGGCAGCTGATTCCTTCTGTGTAAGAGCTGATCCTGAGGTTTTAGAGGTTTAAGGTGGCTGGGTTGTGCCAGTGTGCATAATAACAGTGGGTGTGTCTGCAGCACCAGCTGGAAAAGAGCTCTCACTACAAGAGTGAGTCACAAGCTCATGTCTCTGTCGGTTAATACGCAGTAACTTGGACAATGTTGAGATGCTTTCCTAGTCATCTGGGGTGAACGTGCTCCTATGATAC